TATAGGACTGTCCCACACTAAGTAGACATAATATCTATTAGTAATAGTGAGAGTCTATCTATAAGATAGAAGAAAACGCACTGCGTGACGATCCCAAAGTATACTATTTACAACGAGATCGAGTAACCGTAAAATATCGTCATTAGACATTGGTTGAACACCTACGTCACGATTACATCTACCAGGAGCCTGATCGTGACAATGTGAATAAATCAGATCATAACTGAAAGAATAATTATATCAAATTCAATAGTAAAAGAAAAAGGTCATTAATTTGCACAAGCATTTGTGATACCAGATGAATTGATTATATTTTCAAACAGATAGGCTACTAAATTTAAGCAACGTAATGAATTAAAAAAAATTATAATGCATGGTGAAGCAGCAAGTGCACCATTAGAAAACTTACCTGAAGAATGGAAAAAATTACAAGAACTTCTCTCTAATTACAATTCAAAAAATATATATAATGCTGATGAAACAGGTTTATTCTATCGATTACTTCTGAATTAAACACTTTCTACAAAATTGATGGCTGGAAAAAAAAGATAAGTTAAAAAAAAATTAATAATTTAAAATAATTAATTAATAATTAAATTTTTTAGGAAAAAGTATGAGTAACCGTATTACTTTTCTCAAATTCAACTGGCTCTCACAAACTTCATTTATTAATTATTAGTACTTCTAAAAAGTCACAATGTTTTAATGGAATAAATATTTTTCAATTACTGGTAATATATAAAAACAACAAAAAAGTGTGGATGAGAAATGATATTTGAAAATAATGGTTACATTATATAGATAATGGTTTTCATATTCAAGATAGGAAGATTTTGCTTCTTGTTGATAATGTGACTTTTTATATAATACCAGGAAATTCAAGTGAAGTTCAGAATGATGATACAGATGAATTATTATCTGAAAATGATTCTATTGACAAAATTGAAGAACTTCAAGAAGAACTTCAAGAAGAATCACAAGAAAGATCACAAGGAAGATCACAAGAAAGATCACAAAGAGGATTCCAATAAAGATCTAATATTACTGTTACCGTAATAACATAAAATTCTCTAATTCAATAATCTTTCTTTGATTATGCGAAATTCCCTTTTTCTTAATTTTTATAATTTATC